CGAGTTGGTTCTTGATTTTAGTTTTAAAATTTGAACTTTTTATTTTTTGTGATGGGGAATAGAAATAGTTTTTCATGTGAATGTGTTGCTTCAAATTATCGTTTCTATTCGATTATGGAATTCGTGCTTTTTTAAATAAAGCATAAATCATTAAAAAATTAAAGCTGGTATTTCTAAACAATATTTAAAAAAATAACAAAAATTAACGGAGTTTGACAATATTCATTAGAAGTTTAATTATGACACCATGTATGTTTTGAAATAAATAATGTACCGCTTACTTTCTAGCTACAGCTTACGCAGTAGACAGAAAGATTTGTAATGTTGGACGAAAAACTCTTATTACAGGTCCTTGGTAAAGAAAATGTAGATAAATCCAGTTGCTAAATTTAGAAAGAAAAAATATTCTGTAACACGTGGTGTAGCCAAAAGCAATGTTATGGGTTCTTGATGCCGAAACATCGATTGTCTGCAAAACGTCTGTCCGTCTGTGAACAACCCTACTGGCTAAATCTTGTGCAGATTTTCTTTAAAATAAATATTTGCAAACCTGGGTGATTTCGCGGGCCCCTTGATTTTGAAACCGGTATTTTAATTTTGGGGGTTACTTTGCCACTGAGACCTTTTCAAATTTTTTTTTTAAAAAATGGCTTCATTGTTTTTCATTAAATTAGGTTGTTGGTTCTTTTGAAGGAAGGACGTTTAAAGGAATGATACAGGTCTCATGTTCGTTGAAAACTCTGATTTTTCGAAAATTGCAAAAACGATCATTTTTTCGGCGTCTTACTACAACCACCATAATTATAAACATAGATATTTTTATCTTAAGGAAATCCATGCCTTAAAGATATATTTTGATATAAGGTCGTGTACAATTTTTTTGAAAATTTGAGTTCTTTTCGTGTAATTATGTGTGAAAGTAGGGGCGAGAACGTATGTGCTGTTTTAGCAATCCTAGTTTATCTGATAAAAAGGCGAAAACGAAGTGTCTCGATCTAGACAATCAAATTACCCGTTGACATACACTCATTTCATGTTAATGTTGCGCAACCAACACAATGGAGACAAAGCATTTTCACTCATAGATTTCTCTCTCTTCCTGTTAGAAAGTGTACGAACTTTTTAACATTCGTTACCTAAAACCCTTCTGCTTCATCATAGTGTGAAACACTCGTATGTGCAGAGGGAGAGAAGCAAGAATATTACAATTATACAATTTTCTGGACTTCATATTTAGAAATTTATGTATCACACCGTCTTAAGTATTTGGGATTGTCTTCTTCGACATGGCCAACGATAACAGCGCGACCTCACCCAATGGGCGTACTTGGAATAGCTTTTGTGTTTAGAAAGAAAGTGAAGGGGAGAAACTGTTCCCAAGCGTATTTGTGCGCGCGCCCTGAGTCTCGTCCGAAGCGATTGAGAAACGCGGATCCTTGAAAGGTTGCTCGTCGCGGCCTTGCACGCGCGGGGCCCCGTATTCGCACTATTTTCGCACGCGTTGGGCAATGCGTCCCACTCGCGTTGGCCCCACGGCGCCCGCCCGCGTCTGCGTGTTAGTGTGGAGTTCTAGTTTTGTGATCCAAAAGCACAGATAATACATATGCGCTTGTGCCCTTAATAAAGAGTGGAATATGACATCGAAAAGGTTATAAATGTGGCCTGAATACTCGGCGGCCTTCCTTCTGCCACGTTTATTTGACTGAAATCCTCGGTTTTCATCCTCCAATATTGCTGTTGATGTCGGAGATTGTGTACAACTGCACATTATTTGCAAGTTTGCAATATTTGGAAATTTATAGTTCAACGAAAATTGTGCCTGCGCTTATAAGCGTACTGTTCGAGGGGAAAAATTGGTCCAGAGTTTGAAAAACACTTACTTTCTTAATTTTTTAAGCAAAATTAAGATAAAATACTCATATTTTTAAAAAAAGAAAAAATGGGCATGGCCTCATTTTAGATACAATATTTAAGAAAAATATTTATCTTAACTAAAGGGAGACGCCGAAAACAAATATCAGCTTTTCGAAGTTTTGTAAATCGGACCTGCACCATTTATATAAGCATATTTCGCTCTACCCGGGGGGGGGGGGTATTAAAGAAATAATTTGGAGCTATTTTTTAGAACATTTTGTATATGCTCTTGAATCTTGACGTATAGATCCCCCAAAAATTAAAATCGCCTTTTCAGACTCTAAGAGCTGTGACTTTATACAGATCGGCAGGAGAATATCAATTTTGGTGAAATTTTGCGTGCAGTTTAGCCGCTAGCATTGCTCGCAGACGGGTTGACGTTTTGCCGATTCGGTATCAAGGACCCTCAGAGCGTGGCTTCTAACTACACAAGATGTTATTTACTATATACAGGAACAACAATATATACTTTACTGATACCCTAAAAGGTATCCATTTTCAGGTACCCTAACAGTTATGTTTTGATCGAAATTGTTCTGTTGAAAAGTAACTGAGTTTTGCAGTAGCATTGCATTACCTTGTCTATACTGAGAAAGTAAAAATAGTAGAAAAATTGTACAGTTCCCCGAACCATAGTATTTTATTAACAAGAGACTCCCCTTGTTCTAATTTTTGTCAGTAGCTACTCATTCTGTATCATTTGCACTGTACATTATTTTCATATCATTCTTAGTTTTCTTGGAAGAGATGCAATTTCCCTTCTGATATTCATTCCTGAAATTCGCTATAAGCGCTTCCTGCCAATTCCGCTTTCCTGGAGTGCTCTTATCTTTAGAGGAAATAATCTCATTTCTGCTATAAAACATACACGCTGCGAGGACGGTCTTATTTTGTGCCCTGCCACATACGGACTGGGGTGAAAAAGATGTGGCCAGTACATCAGGGTGCGCGGCTTGCGAACGTGACTCGCGTCTCACTTACATTGGTCGCCTCACATTGCCCCCCCCCC